CCCAGCATGAACACGCCTTCCCTGTACCACTCACCAGGGCCCCACGATCACACAAAAGCACAGGACTGTACCACAATCATCCCACAAAAGCCACAATTATTTCACTCATGAGCCTGGCTTATAAATTTCAGAAAAGGAAATTTTGAAATTTTATATAATACTTATTCTTTATTGGCCTTGGCAAAGTCAACTGTTAAAACTGTCAGGATGGATGGATGGTAGTTGATTATACATCACCCAGAATTACTAGGCTCAGCTCTCTCACTTGGGCAATTAAATCTTCCTTCATCAATCCAAAACACATTGTTATTATTTAATTTTGCCCTGTATCCACATAAGTTTAAAAAGGAAAGAAAATTACATAAATGACGGTGACTGGATTTTTATAAAATGTGTCTAATAAGATGTTTCTTTCAGTATTACTTCCAACTAATAAGACTTCTGTGTTCTCAGAATGTTTTAAACTCTTTACCACTGGAATCACTAACTCCTAAAGCAGTGATGGTGAACCTTTTAGAGCTTTCAATAGTAACAAACATCCTGCTGTGGCACATGTGCCATAGGTTCACCACCACTGTCCTAAGAGGTAGTTTATGTGTTTCTGCCTCGATCAGCATTAGTACAGTGTTACGGTTCGTGTCTGAATGTCTCCCCGAGGCCTCAAGCAGTCATGGGGCAGGCTTCTAGAGTTTATGAGTGATTCGTCGTCTAATGTTGGAATTATGGATGTGAGTGCTATACCTGCCCTGGGGCAGATAGTTTGCATACAATGTAAGGGAGGGAAAGAGGCTTCTTGTCTCTGCTCCTCCTCTTTTTTGCTGCTGCTGCTTTTGCTGTCTTCAGCTGCCATGAACTGCTGTCCTCTGCCTTGTGCCATCCTGTGAGATAAATACACCTTTCCTTCCTCAATTTTGGGCGTCAGGTATTTTGTAACCAAGATATACGTATCTGAAAACAACTGTAATAGAAATTAAAATTTAAGGTCCAATGAATTGATATTAAAATTTATAACCTGAGCTTTAGTCCAATTCAACTCATACAAAACATCTTTACTCAAAGGCAGAATGATTCCTTCCAACAGACTTATAATACAAAATAATGTATCAGTTGTGCAATTTCCATTGAGATTGAATTAGTCCAGCTTGATTAAGTCCTGGGCTACATAAACAATAATCAGGTGCTTTGCTGAAATTGTTTTGGCAATAGCATACAAAGATCCAATTTGGGAAGCTTTATTTATCAGTTATTTGCAATAAAACTGACTGTTACCACTAAATAGTATTTATTAAGTAGCCAGGTTTCCAAACCTGATATTAATAACATTAAGAACATACATTTATTTATGTATTTATTTATTAAATATCAGTTATTCTAAGAACTGGTAACAATCTCATAAGAACTATGACTATTCCAATTTTACAGATGAGCAAATTAAGGCCAAGAAAATTAAGTAACTTAACTAACACCACACATTAATAAGTGAGAAAGGTTGAAATCTCAACCTAGAAAGTCTGGCTCCAAAAATAAGATAGACAATAATGATATGGACAAATATACATAAAGACAAATCCAACTCACTAATATAGATTACAACAATCTAGTATTCCCTAAGTTATAAGCATTATATCACTGACACTCCAGGGAGAACAAAATTATAAGCTGTTTGATCTGTGTGAGAATAAAGGATAGAGAAAACTTAAGTATCTTTAACTTATGAGTGAAAGTCGGGGAGAAAAAGCAAATTGTACAAATTTACTGAGTAGTACACTAAAACTGGGTAGTAGAAGGAACATGTGAATGAATGATACTAAGTATTCTTAAAATTAGCAATAAAATAATCAGATGAAAATACTAGGAGAAGGGCTGGGAATATTGCTCAGCAGCACAGTCCTGCCTACCAAGCCCAAGGTCCTGAGTTTGATTCCCGGTACCAAAAAAAATAAATACTAGGAGAGTCAAAGTGATACTAAGAGATGAAAAGCATGCAGGTTATGCTTGTTGATGGCTTCAAAAGGGAAGTTGAGCCTTCACTTGATAGCAAAAGCTGGTCGAGAACGTAAGAGTGTGATAACAGATACAGCAAAAATGATAGAAGAGAAAACGACCGGACTGTGAGCAAATAAGACTACCATAACGTCAATGGATGCCTATCTATTATGGTGAAGTATAACTGAAGGAATTCAACAAGACTAGGGACAAAAGGCTTCACTGTCACAAAGAAGTCTACAATACTAAGTAAAAAAAAAAAAATTAGCCTATGGCAGAGCAAAATATAAAGTCATTGTTTGAGCAGAAAATGATCAAGATTTAAGGTCTGTGAGATGGGGACTTGGTGGAATTCACATTTGTGGTATTGACGATAATGAAAATGTCTGCTTAGACAGCCTGGTTCAAACCTTTCTTTGAAATTTTGCTCAGTAGCAGAGAAAGGAGAGAGCTGCTCTTACTGAGACCAAAATGTCTGTGATTTAATACAAAAATTATTTTACAGCCAGCAAAAAATTAAAACTTAAAATATCACAGTTGGCTAGAGTCAGAAAAGAGTCAGAAAAGAGTCAGAAAAGACTTATAGTGGCAGTGCTTTAAAATTTAAGTTGCCCTTACAGACTCCAAAATAAAAATCAAAGTGGGAATGTAAACAGGTTAAAAAAAAAAAAATAGGTTATAAACAGTTGCTCTCAAATGGCAGCTCCCACTGAAATATAATCTATACATGAGTTGTGTGGCATGATTCAAAACCGACAACCCCTGATGACAACCTGCAGGATTCTTCACAGCTGGGTCTAGCATGGATCTTTAAAGAAACTGAAATTTCTAAGACTTAAGATTAGAAATCATACTACCACAGAAAGTGATAATTTCTTATATTTACTCTTTATTTTTGTATCAACAGATGGAAACTGCTCTTTGGCGAAGTTATCAAAGCCAACCCTAACAGAAGGAAAAAAATATTAAGTTAGTAACCTTGAGTCACAAATAGCAATATTCATGAGAAAGGTGGAGTTTAACCATAAATTAGTGTTGAATGACTAATATGTTGTCTGCCTGAAGGTATTAATTCTTCTCCAGATTAAGAACGCCATATTCACACTTCAACCTCAAGCTGGTGCTACAGAAACATTCACACTGAGGTTGAACGCACTTCATAATTCTAGGGGATACCACCTGTGTACCAGTCCCTGTTCCCTGAAGTTGTATGGTGACAATTTGCCAATCCAGACTCAGCCAGATTGGTTCCAACACACTTAACATAGCTTATATATTTGAGCAAGGTCTTGTAAGATATGAGAAACATACATTCCTTCTTTGTCACCACTTTCTCTCTCCCTTTTTTTTTGACAGGGTCTTTCTATGTAGCTCAAGCCACCCTCACACTCATTATGTAGCCCATACTGGCCTTGAACTTATAATTGTTCTGCCTCAGCTTCCCAAGTGCTAGGATTATAAGCATGCACCACCACACACAGCTATCTCCACTTTCTTAATTCAAAATGGTCTAAAGGCTAAAGAATATTCTTGTTCAAATACTTGTTTTATTAGAATAAAATATGATCTATTTCTTTCATACAATCCTGTTTTAGTTAATTTCCTTTTTTATTGACTGAGTAGAATAAATCTTCACAACAGTGCCAAAAACACCTGATGACTAATGAAACACACTCTGAAGCCACTAAAATGTGATCACTTATCACGGAGAAGCTAAATCCTCACACTGTTTCTGACTCAAAAGAAAAAGCCTAACATACTAATGACAGCAAAGATGAGTAATCTATGTCATTTACAGAATGATTCTTTGGTGAGCTCAGAAGAGATAAAAATTACTTTCAATTATTTAGCCAAACTCACACTCATACCCAAAATGTTAAAGTAAGATTTAGAACAGCCAGAGAGTAGTCATTTGGTTTATTTCTTATTGTATTTTAGTACCATATTTCCTAAAACTTTTCCATGAAATACTGAAAGGATCCCATTGTCAGGAAGTTTGAAATGCAATAACTACCCAACCTGGAGCACTGCCATGCACATTAATTGATTTAAGGCTCTAAGGAGTCCTACAGTAAAGAAATTAGTTGTGTCCTACACTTTTGAAATTAGTTTCCTATACTTATTTGATCACATACCTGTTTTTGTTTGTTTGTGGAATATTAATGATAGGAGAAACAGTTTGGGAAATGCCACTGAAAGATCACCATATA